ATTAACGTTAACTTGCGTTAAATCTTGCTAAATGTAACGTTTTAACGTTTAACGAAGTTAATTTTTTTATTAACGGTTTAACGATTAACGAAGTTAACTATTTGATTAACGGTGCCCAGCTATGATAGTGACCTTATTTAATAGTTGATGAAATGAGATAGCATTTAAAACCAGTTGGTTATAATAAACTCACTTAACTTTGTAACTACAAAAAAATATAAACAGAAACCCTTGATATTTCTTCTAAGTTCGCAATATTATCTGTAATTACAAATAAACCTGAAATTGTCACCCTTATTCATACTTCTTATTTAGAGGCAAAATCTTATCTTATTTTTTGGTAGATTATTTTCTCAAATATTTTGTCATCATCATCATCTCAGCCATAGGACGCCCACTGCTGAACATAGGCCTCCCCCAATGCCCATTAGGGGGGAAAATTGCCCATACTCGCTACGCTTGGCAAGTATCTTATGCTCAAACTCTGTTGTTACAGGAGGCGGAGGCAGCCATTACCTCCATGAATGGCCAGTGGCTGGGATCCAGGTCCATCCGCACCAACTGGGCCACCAGGAAACCACCAGCGCCGAAGAACGAATGTGAGTACATCAATGAAACTTGGTTTCTTACTTACTTACTTATATACTTAAGGTCCTATGTCCCCTAGATGGGGCAGAGGGCGTCCACGACAGTAGGTACTCCGTTCGGTCTTGAGCTTCGCGTTTGATCTCGCTCCAAGTCTTGCCGATCTTCTTCGCCTCGTCAGCCACAGTGCGCCGCCAAGTTTTCTTGGGGCGACCAGCTAACTTGTTGACACAGATAATGATAATCTGATAACTTTGTCAAAAATCTGTCGGGATTTTCGGGCAATTTTAACCCATAAGGACTACTTTTTGATAGTACTATTTACTTGAAACTTTTAAAAAGTAGACTATATCGTCAATTGCAGGTTGAGTTAAATATGCAGTTTTTCTTAGTTTTTTCTGCTCTTTCGAATGGAATATTTGCTACAATATTTGAGATCTAAGCAAAGCTCTATACACTCTATAGGCTATGGTTAATGGACAACGGATGTAAACATACTTTAATTATTTTTTATATTCCGAATAATAACATACATTTAAAAGTCTACAAAAGGCCCGGACATTTCAGAACATTTCCTTACAAAATGTAAGTCAGCGTGTCCGAAACTTCGGACACCGGACAAAAGGCCGAAAGTTCGGACAGGTCTATACAAATGCGGACAGATTGTAATGTTTTCCTACAAAGGACATGTTGTTGAATTATGTAGACTAACAAATCTAAAAATATTGAAATCGAAAGTCTTGAATTCGATTCCTGCCTAAGGCAATTTGATTTTTTAAATCTGTGAAAATAACTAAAAAGGTCGTAAAACTAATTTTACTTTTGCAAGTAGGCTTTTATTAAAGCACTTTTGCACTTACTCTAAGACGGGTAATAATACTAAAATCCATATTTTTACCGACTTTGTGACTGTTGTCCGTATTCACAAACGATGCTTGCTTAAGTAAAGCGGCAAATCTAACGCACAGCGTTGAACTGGGCTCTTTGATTGGTTCGTGTGTCACCCTGTGCGTCCACGCGCACTGTGAGACCTCATAGTAATGTTTGTGAATACGGGCGTGTATGCATTCACTAATATTTCACGCCAAGCTATATTTTCACACTAGCGGCCGCCCGCGACTTCGTACGCGTGGATCCCGTTTTACCCCCTTAGGGGTGGAGTTTCGTAAAATCCTTTCTTAGCGGATGCCTACGTCATAACATCTACCTGCATGCCAAATTTCAGCCCGATCCGTCCAGTGGTTTGGGCTGTGCGTTGATAGATCACTATGTCAGTCAGACAGGCAGTTAGTCAGTCACCTTTGAGTTACATATAATTTTAGATGATGGCACTCAAGAATCGTCGCTAGATAAATTTTGTCTTTAAAGCGCGAGTAGGTAATATCACAGTAGGTAATATCTTATTCCTTGTTTTGTGGAACTAAACAAATTCAAACGAATTCAAGAAGTGCCACAATAAAGCTACGCACAGCAAGTCTAACCATTTTATTGTGTATAGTTATTTTTCTCTATACAGGGTGTCCCAAAAAGTAGTGTCAAGCCGAAGCTCAGAGGTAGAGCATCACTAGGGCTATCCAAATCACCCCCATGTATGTTCCGCGATTTTTGATAGTCTTCGAGTTATGATTGTTTTAAATGTCTGTGCTTAGGCACTTTTTTGGTCACTGTGGCGCAAAAGTGATTGATTCCAGATTTTTTTATCATTGTTAGATGAATACTAGGCCTAGTTGATTTAGAAATATGTACATATATCCATTCTAATACGAATGTAAACTAAAATCCTGTATGTTGTAAAGAAAAATCATGACTTGACACTAATTTTGCTTCGGCTTGACACTAATTTTTGGGACACCCTGAATATTTCTGAGTATTTTGGGATGTGGGAATGAAACGAAGAGTTTCTACGGGACTATTCCCACCTCTCGTTCCCACCGCTGCAACTCCTGTGTAGCCAGGATCTACAGCTTGACCGTCAATAACCCAACCAGTGAATGTCAAGTTTTTCCCGGGGGAAAGTTAACTGACATTGCCTTCAATCAACCGCCTGTGTGGTCTAGTGGTAAGACCACCTGCTTCAGACGCAGAGGTCCCGGGATCGATTCCCAGTGGGTGCAGATTTTTCTGTTCGGTTTGGTTGGTGGTAGGGCTTGTTCTAAGTCCGCCTGGCTAGCTACCATCTTCTTACCTAAGTCTGTCGCCATAACAACAATGTTACCAGCACTGTTGTGTTCCGGCAGTTAGAGATAAGATAGCCAGTTCCTCCGTGGTTGAGGATTCTGGGTGAAGCTCGCTTCCACCTTCGGCCTGATCATTACTTACCATCAGGTGAGATACAGGCCAAGAGCTTCCGCGTTGTGGATAAAAAAAATTAACAAACTCTTCAGCTTTATAATATTAGTAATATACTCGTAGTTGGACAGGCACTTCTGTTTCCACTTTCGACTGTGTAACGAATTAGTACACAGGATTAAAATTCATAAAGCAGTAAGATTAAAGGCGCTTTCCGTCTGTTCTGTGAATATTAAAATTTAATTGGAAGAGAGGTCATTCATAAGGAGTGGATATTGCGTTAGTAAAAATATATTCGAGATTAAATAGAAAGAAAGAAAGAGAGAGAAAAAATATTTGGCATGAGCATCACACAAATTCAGAAAGGTAACATCTCATCTCATCAACAGATGTTTGTTACTCTTTCACGCAAAAAGTACTGGACAGATTTTGATGAAACTTTACAGTATTATTGTTCCCTACTCGAACAAAAATTAGCACTTTAAACTTTAATAAGTTGCAAACAGATCCATAAATGGAAAAATAGTCTCTAAGACTTAGTGGTTTCTAAAACCACTAAGCCATTTTAAAAGACCTATCCAACGATACCCCACACGTTGGGGTAGAAGTTAGAAGCTCCCCAGCTACCCTAAAAATATTTTATTTTACCGTTTTGTCGGCGTGATTAATATACATACCTCCACAAAATTACAGCTCTCTAGTGCCAATAGTTTTCAAGCAAAACCACGGACAGACAGACAGACATATCGAAACTATAAGGGTTCCTTGTCAGGACTACGGAACCCTAAAAACATGGTTTCTCTCTTTAATTAACGTTATTTATATACTACGATACACATTATCGTATGAATTTTATTACACACTACAAAAAAGTTCATTTTCAACATAATTGAAAAAAAAATTGAGACGGGCACAATCTAGGCACTTTTTTAATCAAAAACCACGTAAAATTAATATTAAAAAAATGGAACAAAATTCTTCACTATCAATTTTATTGAGTATACATCACGTAGCTTCTTCCTTTAATAATTATCATAAATTAAATTCCCTAAACTCCCTGAAGATAAATTATGTTAGACTGACGTCCAAATAGGCAAAATTATCCATTGTTATTTTTTAATTGTGCCCTTTGATCTTACCGCTTTGATCTAGGCCGTTTCTCAGCTATGCCTGCGGGTCTTTTGCCAAATATACAGGGTGTCCCAAGAGTAACGTAAGAATTGAGCCACCATTTTGTAGCAAACCCTGAAAAAAAGAATAATTTGACAGTCGAGAGTTTGAGGTGACTAAAAATGGAGCGTTATACGATACAACAACTTTTTTTAATTTATCATCATCATTCAGCCACAGGACGTCCTCTGCTGAACATAGGCCTCCTCCAATGATTTCCATCTCAACCCTGCATCCAGCGCCTTCCTGCTAACTTTATGAGGTAATCTGTCCACCTTGTCAGTGGACGTTTAACACTGCGCTTTCAGTACGTGGCCTCCACTCCAGAACCTTGCTGCCCCATCGGCCGTCATTGTTAAGTGCTATGTATGTGCCCAACCCATTGTCACACTATGTGCCCTGCCCAATTCTACTTCAGCTTGCTAATTCGTCGGGCTATGTCAGCGATTTTAGTTCGTTTCTTCATTATTAAACAGTAATTCGGCAGGTTTAAAGAAAGGCCTCGATTTAAGATTCGAAAAATTGAAACAAAATGGTCAAAATAGTGTTTTAAACCTCATAAAGGGAGTAGGATGCCGCTGGAAATCATTGGGAGAGGCCTATGCTCAGCTGTGGACGTCATGTGGCAGAAATGAAATGTGGCTTTTAAATGACGGTAAATTCAATGCGTTATTTTTGAAACACCCTATATAAAGGTACACCACAGTCTTGCCAGCGGTTTGTTTACGTGGATTTCTGCTCATGCCGGGCACAGACTCGTGTCAAGATGTTTGTGGATATCTACAAGGACTGTGTGAGGTCATTTGTACATATTGTAAACTAACTTTTGCACGCGGATATCCTGTATGAATTTCAGTATGATGGGGGGTCATCCTTTCAAAAAACTGGGATAAAGACTATCCAATGTTTTGCTCAGGGTCTCTCTACCATTTCTATACTATTTGATTTACATTGATTGAATGATTGAAAAAAATGATTTATACGTGAGACTGCAAAATAGCAAACATATTCATAAAGGTACATTTCACGGGGACACGTGCCTATCTTTGAAAAACGTCCTTGATTCGACCTTCGAATTATCCTACCTCACTATTTACTACTATCTACTACCTCTCTACCTATTATTATCCTACTTTGTTATTATAAATGCGAAAGTTTGGATGTCTGGATGTCACGATGTCTGGATGTTTGTTACTCTTTCACGCAAAAACTACTAAACGGATTTTGTTGAAACTTTTCAGTATTATTGTTTATAACCCAGATTAACATATAGGCTATAATTAATTACGATATGTGACAAATAAATTTCAATAAATAAATAAGACGTGTCTAAAAACGCCATCTATCGTCATTGGTTAAAATGTACAGCGCTGGACAAACTACTGATTTTGACGTTCGTAAATATTCATGCGGGGGGAAGCCGTGAAACGCCATTTATCAACAATGATAAATCTAACAACAGATTTTACAAAAGGGGTAAAACGAGGTCCACGCGTACGAAGTCGCGGGCAGCCGCTAGTACCATCTTATAAAATTAGTAAGATTAGGATGTGCTTCAAGTTAAACCGACTTTTACCTCGACTAGAACTCAGAAGTAACCAAATGCATCAATTCGACTACCCGTCGTCAAAAACGACGTATTATGCGAACAAATTGATCCAGTCCCCATGAGACTGGCTTACGGGCTAGAGTCGTTTACTGTGTGCTGTAGATATAGGATGTTAGGGCTGGAACGCAAAGGTAAGTAAGGGTTGGTACATAATTTTATTCTTAAACATTACTATGAGGTCTCACAGTGCGCGTGGACGCACAAGGTGACACATGAACCAATCACAGAGCTCTATTCAACGTTGTGCGTTCGATTTGTTGCTTCACTTAAGCAAGCATCGATCGTTTGTGAATACGGGCGATAGTATGGTAGGGCTGAAACGCAAAGGTAAGTAAGGGTTGCTTGCTACAGATCTGTATATCTATATCTAGAAAAGCGAAAGGTCACTGTCTGACTGACTCACTACTCACAAACTCCAAACCTAAGGAGGTAAAACGGAATTCACGCGTACTAAGTCGCGGGCGGCCGCTAATCTATACTTCTATACTAATATTATAAATGCGAAAGTAACTCTGTCTGTCTGTCTGTCTCGCTTTCACGCCTAAACCACTGAACCGATTTTGATGAAAGGCATAGAGATAGTTTGAGTCCCAGGAAAGGACATAGGATAGTTTTTATCCCGGTTTTTGAAACAGGGACGCGCGCGATAAAGTTTTTCTGTGACAGACAAAATTCCACGCGGGCGAAGCCGCGGGCGGAAAGCTAGTAGTCTATTATAAAAGCGAAAGGTCACTGACTGACTCACTCATCACGAAATCTCAGAAACTACAAGTGCTAGGAGTCTCAAATTTTGGATGGGGGTTCTTTTTAGAATGTAGGTGCTCACTAAGACGGGAATTTACAAAATTCAACCCCTAAGGAGGTAAAACGGGAAATCACACGCTGGCAATAATCATTCAAAAGTATTAAATACTCTTTTGTGTCAGCCCTACACTATCGTATGCAGACGATCCTACAGATGCAATTTCCGAAAATCGATCCACACGTGGGAGGTGAGATTGTGACAACTAAGTTTGAGGTTGAAATCAAATAAACTGGAGACGTGTATCCGATCTTACTTCGTTTATTTATTTACTTGCCTCAGAGCAGTTCAGCAAGATGTTCGATTTTAAGATATGTGGTCATTGTCGTATTACACAAAACGTAAAATCAGCTGTTTCAATGGTGTCACTCACGCACGATGCAATTTAGAGTAAAAATGGTACCTTTCCAGAATTCGTAATATCTTTCCTAGCTTCTCTAACACCACGCTAACACCCTGTAGCTCATAAATGAGCTGTAGTGTGCCAGCATCAAGTAGCAAAGAGTCATCATAAGTCATTTAGTTTTCATACACGACCCTCTCTAATTTGCCAGAGGCAAATGGACGATTTTAGGCGAAATACCTACACTTATCTACCCCGAAACGGATCGAAACCGTATCAACTTATGGCGGTCAGTGTTCTTTGTATAAAACTTCGTACTGCAACGAACACTTACTTATCTGCACCGTAACGAAAACGCCTCGCCTCGCGACAAAAGGCGATGCGGTGTTGATCCCTTTCCAGGTTGATAAGTGTGTTATGACCTCTCACCACGCTAGCGATATCAAATGAAATCAAAAATATTTATGCAGTTTAGACCACAAGTGGCACATGAACGTCACTTTACACGTCTCCTTATCTTTTGGGCCCTACCAGCGCTTCGAGACAAACATTATGACAAACATAAATGCTGAGAAACAAACTACGCATTGGTACATAGATATTGACTATAACTTTGTGTTTTCAGTGAACTCCAAGCCGCTTACCTTCGACGAGGTGTACAACCAGAGCTCGCCCACCAACTGCACGGTCTACTGCGGTGGTTTGACCACCGGCCTCACTGAAGAGCTGATGCAGAAGACCTTCCAGCCCTTCGGGACCATCCAGGAGATTAGAGTCTTCAAGGACAAGGGATACGCCTTCATTAGGTACGTGGAATACTTTTCTATTCAGTCTATTATTGTACCTACTTTGCTGCATGACTGAAAACGTCAAAAACCTGCATTGGTCTCACTAGAATAATGATACAAAAGACCTTCTGGCCCTTTGAAACCATCCAGGAGATTATAGTCTTCAAGGATAAGGGATACGCCTTTATTAGGTACGTGGTCTTATTTGGTCTACCTACTGTATAAAGCACCGGTCTCATTAAAAACTATGATGCAAAAGACCTTCGAGCCTTCGAAACTATCCAAGAGATTAGAGTCTTCAAGTATAAGAGATAGGCCTGTATTAGGTCTTTTTGGTCTACTGTATTAAGTACCGGTGTTATTAAAAACTTTCAACCACGAAGACGCGCCCCACCAATTTTTGGTCGAGGGAAACGCGGGGTGCGGGGAGTTTGATCCGAGCAATCCGAGCGGCATTATTTGTAGTGTGCGTGTGCACTCATGGATCATTTAGCGTGTACCGATAACACTCAAACATTATAAAGAATAGTGGGGCGCGTCTTCGTGGATGTATATAATACAGACCTGAACTCTTATAATTGTTGTATCCTCAAACGTTTCATATGCTCAGTTCTGATGAATATCATGCTTCTTTCCAGATTTTCTACAAAAGAGAGCGCCACCCACGCTATAGTGGCAGTCCACAACACAGATGTCAACGGGCAGCCTGTCAAATGCTCGTGGGGAAAGGAATCCGGTGACCCCAACAATGCTCAGGGTCAGGGACAGGTGAGAGTGACCTTTGACTTACTTGACTTAAGGTCCTATGTCCCCTAGATGGGGCAGAGGGCGTCCACAACAGGTCCTCCATTCGGTTTGAGCTTCGCGTTTGATCTCGCTCCAAGTCTTGCCGATTTTCTTCGCCTCGTCTGCTACAGTGCGCCGCCAAGTTTGCCTGTTGTGACCTTTGGTGAACTTTAATACGCTATACTAAGCCAAAATAGCTGAATGGTGAAGGGGTCGGACTGGCCGACTCGTGATCCGAGGAACGCGGGTTCGAACCCCGTTCGACTATGGTGGTGAGCGCACTCGTAACATCGTTCGTTTCAGCCGAAAGACGTCCACTGCTGGACAAAGGCCTCCCCCAAGGATTTCCACGAAGACCGATCCTGCGCCGCTCGCAACCAGGCACCTCCCGCGACCTTCACCAGATCGTCGGTCCACCTAGTGGGTAGGCCCCACGCTACGTCTTCCGGCTCGTGGACACTCGTAACTAAGAATAATTATTTATAGCACTAACTGAGTTAAATGATAGACCTATAAACAATTACTTATTCTTAGTTACTAGAACCTAACAGTTACTTAGAAACACAAATTCCTAAATCCCTTTAACAACTTTAAAATTAAACAAACATGAAATTCTTGATAACAATTAGTTCAAAACGACTTGATCCTTTTTGATGCAAATTCGTCTAATGGAGAAAGAACTTCTCGTGAATTATGATATTTACATTTGACTTTTAAAGAATTTTTGAATATACTTCATTAGTTATGAATTAATTATGCTACTTTAGCAATATTTTAGGAATTCAGAATTTCTATTTTCGGTAACTCTGTAAATTACAATTTTAGTTTCAGTTCTTTGAAACTCACTAGTCAAAGACAATCTACTTGTCTATGCTAATATAAATTTATTAACTTGGCTGTACTTAAATTCAAAAAGTCAAAATTAAGCCATGTTCGCACTAGTCTATCCTTCGACGTCATTTGGCTAAAACGAACGAACTAAATAAAAGCTTTGACTTTGACTTTCATCATCATCAACAGCCCCCTACAGTCCACTGCTGGACTATGAACCTCCTCCACTATAGTGATTGGAGATCGCAATTTAAAAGATTAAAGTTTTTCAGAGAGCGCTGCTGCCCGTTCTCTGTTTGATGTGAGTCCCTAAGTCGCCTCTTACGACACCCGTGGGAAGTGTAGGGGTTGGTGACAAATGTATTCTATTCTGCCGTCACCACACGGCTTTAATTTGGACTCCAGAAAACTCTTAATATTGGTGTAATAACCCCCATGTTGGTACCCGCTGAAAACCAGCTTCGTGACTTGACGACTTGTGTCATGTCACGATTTTCGCTGAGCGGTCGCCTTTTCAGCATGGCTCGGTAATTTAACTACTGTACATTGTATGCACATAAATGTTAATGCTGAATAAAGGTATTCTATTATATTCTTAACCCTCCCAAATTCTATTCACAGCTCGGAGGCACGGCATACAGTCCATTCGGCGCGGCGTACACTGCTGGAGGAGTGCCCCCAACCTCATACTGGTACAACACGTACCCGCAACAGCTGGGAGGCTTCCTGCAAGGGGTACAGGGGGTACAAGGGTACTCGTACGCTGGACAGTTCGCGGGGTACCAGCAGCAGTATATGGGGTAAGTATGAGCGAAATAAAATCATTTTTTATGCATAACAAGGCAGGTATTTGACCATGGTACATATCTGCCCTGTAAGTGCCTATTAACTCTCGCCTTGAAAAGGTCCGGATTATAGTCTTCGGGAAAGACAGCAGCAGGCAGCGAATTCCAGTCCCTAGCTGTTCGCATTATAAAAGAGTCATCGAACCGCTTAGCGTGAGCTGGTGGGATGCCGACAATATAACCTAAGTACGCTAACCTGCGTCTGGTTCCCCGGTGATGGAAGGGGGCTGGTGGAATTAGCCCGTGTAATTCCTTCGCACATTCTCCGAAGTGTAGCCTGTAGAAAACCCTTAGAGATGCTACTTTACGACGGTGGTCAAGTTCCTGGAGCGACGCTTCAACAAGGGTGGGGCTGTCGATTAGTCTTCTGGCACCGAATTGATTTGTGCAAATGTGGGTAACATTGTCCGTTGTCCCATGTGAACGAAGGAACGCGACATGAAGCGACGCGACCCAACGCACCGTAATGCTATCAATACTAACCGTTCGCGCTAAGTTTGCCGCTCCGTGGAATGCGGGTGTCCCGCAACCGCGATTTAACGCAATTATTTAGTGATTAAACGCAATTAAGTGTCTTATTTTACGCAAATACACAATTTTTATCATTATTAATAAATAAATAATATTTTCAATATAGTTTGCTATAGATATAGACGCTTTCCTTCAAGTGACGTCATATCGCCAGCGGCAAACTTATCGCGAACGGATAGTACTTCATGTGACGACATGGCACGCGATTACCGTACGAAAAAAAGAGGGATAAAAATTAACCAGCTATTCTTAAAATCGTTTTTTTTTTAAGTTCGAGCAACCATTTTGTCAAGTAACCCATTCCCTAAAGTTGTAGTTTTTAATCCTTGTCCATTTCCTTCCAGAATGGGCGGCGTCCAGCTGCCCTGGGCACTGGGCGGCGGCGTGGGCGGCGTAGGCTCAGTCGGCGGCGTGGCGGCCATGTCGCAGCCGCCGCAGGTGCTGCACTATCCGGTACAGCATTTCCAGGTGCAGCCTGTGAGTACCTAAGCTTACATATAGTTTTGGGAAAAATTTCCGGTGGTATAGATTTGGGAAAAATTACCGGTATAATTTTTGGAATTTTTTCCGGGAGTAATTTTTGGATAATTTATGTAGCTGCTTATAAAGTTGGGGGAAAATTGAAATTCTCGTCGTAGTTTTGGAAAATTATTGTAGCTGGTTATAATGACGGGGAAAATTGTAAAGGTTTTTTGTTGGGACAAAAAAGCGAATAACATGTAATAATAGGGGGCATCAAGGTAATAACTGAAGCAAATTATTTAATTTTGTTGTAGATGTAATTTCGCTAAAATTTATAGTAGTGAAATCTAATGTATTTTAAATTGAGTTTTTTTACAAAAATCATTGTTCAAAATGTTCGCAACACGTCTTTGTTACAATGAGGGCTATCGTTTTAGCGCTCACCAGTTAGCGCCACTGTAGAGTAAGGTCCAGTCACTTGCTAGTAGCGAAGACAGTGGCGCCAACTGGTGAGCGCGAAAGTGGGAGGAGGACTATCGCATTTGCACTCATCAAGATGGTGCCACTGTAGAGTAAGGTCCTGTCAATCGCCAGGGGTGCCAACTGTTGAGTATAAAAACGATAGCCCTCATTGGTATAAGGTTGTGTTGTCAACTCTTTGGCCACATTGGGTGTCACAAACTATTTGACATTAACTGTACAGTCGATTGTACTTTAACAACGAAACCTTTTTAATAAAATCGTTACATGTCTAAGATAATGTTTCAGCTTCCCCTTTGCAGTACAAAAGATATCTAAATTCCATTCCTTTTACAACCTCAAGCAGATCGGCGAGGACGAATGGCTGGCTCCCAGCCTCCTGGTGTGAGGCCACCGCACCCTCCCGCCCGACTGCTGCTGCCTCCACAAGGACTGGTAGACCACTGGTAGACCAGCCCACTTCATTTCCAACTTCGTTCAGTTGCAACCCACACCTTTCCAAACGAAGGAGCTCCATGAGGGTACAAACACGGTCGAGTGCGGACAGTGCGAAACTTAGGCTATAAGCCTAGCCCACCTTACAAAAGGTCGAACATTTCAGATCGAAAAAAAATGTGAGTCATTCTTCTCTGATATGATTTCTACTGCTGCTTATGACTGCATGAAAATGCATTAAATTTAACATAAAAAATACTTTTAGAGGATATATAGATTTGGTATAAGATTATTATTATATTACTGGTAAGTTTAGTTTTAAGTTGATGATAATATCAGTTGTCACGCGGGCCAAATGGGATGGGGTATTTGATGAAATACAAGAGCGATTGAGAACGAGGCTATGGTACCAAACATCATGTCAGCACAAGCATAGTATAAGTTTAGTGGAAAAAAATGTAGATTTTTGGAAACATGTTTAGTAGGAATCGTAGAATATTAGGCAAGGTCACATCAGTGAGTGAGAAGTTTTTTAAGACAATTTTATATCCGCTGAGAATGGTAAGAATGTACGAGACGAAATAGAATTATTAACGAATAGAGAAACGCAGAAAATGGATTCTACTTTATTTATTTCTTATTTCATTTGTTTCTTCTCGATGCTAGTTTTTGCCAAATTCTGATCCATAACGAAATCATGATAAACTATAAATAACTACTGTTATAAAAGATGGTTGTGTCTAACTATTAAAGGATACACTTAAAAAACTTTGAGAAAAAATACCGAAAAGTAGTGAAATATTAGATTTATTTATTGAATAGGTGACTAAGTGAAAAGAAAAAATATTTATTGCATAGATGATAAGAAGCATTTAATCTTTACTGTAGTTAGTAAAAATGGGAGTGTGAAATGATGTTTGTTTGGTTTCTCTCAAAAAACGCGTCGATTATGATTTGTGGAAAATTTTGGCTGACTTTTAACTTTGCTTTTTATTGTTTCTATTCAACCATATTGACGTACGAGACTTCATTCGGTTATCTCATTCTGTGTGAGCCCCATATAAGGGGAAGTTAGTGTTCTAAAAAATATTGAAAAAACGTTGTAGTAGTACTACAAAAAATCTTTTTTGAAACTTTTTAAAAGGTGAGGGATCTATCCATGTCACCTGACGTCTATATAATATTTTGTAAATGATGTATTTTATACATTGTATTGAAAGATCTATCGTTTGACTGTCGTAGTTACTTTCATTGTTTCGATTTAGCATTATAATTTTGAGCATGTAGTGAAAAATTGAGAGACATATCGCTAGAAGTTATTATAAGATATTTATATATATAAAGAAGGATAATTATTATATAGTTCATTTCAGCTAAGGAACGAATTGTGACGTCAATTTTGTCATTCAGTCAATCGAGAAATCGGAGATGCGTATTTTGAATTATGCAAAAGAAACCACCGGCATAATATAAGTGGTTTGGAATGCGATAAACGAGATGTGATGTTTGCATATTCAAAAGGCGCGAAAGAGGTTCAACTTCTTTGAAAAATAACTGAATTATATCACAAAATCGTACTACAAACCACTAGATAGTCAAATTTAGTTATAATCAACATATAATGATGCTAGGTTTTAGTAAATGAATTCATTTATGCCTATAATTGCTTGAAGTAGAGAATAATAGTAAGCATACATATATATCCGAATAGTATGTAAGCTACAATGTAACAGTAATATATTGCCGACCGTCTTCTATGTAGGAAAGGGCGTTTCGTCCAGATCTTGGAACTCGACGTGTCGTTGCCTTCTGTCGTTGCTATACTTCCTTCTACTATTTACATAAGTATATGCTACATATAGTTAAGGACGCAGAACGGCTTTGCTGTCTCCATTAATATAAGCTAGAAATATAAGACGTATGTTAATAATCAAATCTCCATTATAAAATGGAGTATTAACTTTAGCTAGGCGAAATTACAAGATATATAAAAGTATATTATATATACAAAATTATTGTGCAAAATAAGACATAAACATTATATCGATATCGTTTAGATAGGCTATTGAAATTTTAAGTGTTGTTTTTGTTTAATTTAGACTTTTAATTTCATTTACATTTATAATTTTCGTTTGTTTTCCTTTTTGGTTGGTCCATTCCATCGGAGTTAAGGTATGATATTATATATATAATTTTAAGTCCCAAAGAATAACACCAAATATTAATAATACTCGACATTAAATTTTAAAATGTAGAATTGGCGATAAATATGAAAAAAAAACCATAAAAATATTGTAAAATCTTTAAAATGCCTTATTCGATCTGTCTCTAATTCTCTATATTATTTTTGGTTTGTCATAGATGTCACAAAGTGTCAGAATTGGTATGTTCAGTGTTATAACTTTTAGCCAACGAAATGCCTTCAAAATAACAAAAATAAGTAACGATCTAGTCAAAACTAGTCCACCAAAAACAAAGTCAATTAGAAGTTTCATTTAATGACACAAATAGTTCATTTAACGGCATAAGTTTCATTTAATGATTCGATGATTGGACATACCGTTTCTCACACCTCAAGTGCCAAACATTTTTCCTTTATTCTTCGTGTTAATATGATCCGTCATTTCCAATTAATAACACCAAATACTCAGACTTATGCGATAAACTTCTAAGACGATTCTAAATCTAGTTTTGCAGTCTTGAAAATGTAAACACGTAAGATCTTACCTAGATAATTAAACGTGGAAAGAGATTTTCCCAAGATTTTCGGAAAATCTGGGAAGTTTTCCAAAAAGTAAACATTGAGGTAAAAGATTGACCCTTCTGGGTTAACATTAACGTTTGATAGCTTTCTAAAGCAAGGATTGGACAAGTAAAAAGGAACTATAGAGGCTGAAGCTATTTAAAATATTAAGTAACTAAAGATTTAACTAAAAAATGCTACAGTATTTTTCAAACCTGTAAAGAAAAATTGAAAATTGATGTTTTATCACGCCCCCCTTAAGCAAATATTATTAACTTCAACAAGTGATAAATTAACTAAATAGCTCAGTAGCCAGATCAGATGCCATGCAAGAGAATTATCTCAGGTACACTGAGGTACACTGAGGTCACAAAAAACACTTAAAACTAGATTCAATATCAGACCTAGACTCTGTCTTGTTATTGGTCTTAATATTAGATCCACCAATCAAAAGCCTCAATCTATGCTTGAAATTTAATCGAGTTTTGAGTAAAATGTACAACTGTGACGTCATAAACGTGTTTTCCCAAATCTGTCACATTTTCCGGACTGCAAAACGCAATGTATAGTAGTTGTGAATCGTGGTTAGTTACTGAATGTCTTTCGTTCGTCGTATCTCGTAGTGATCTTTTTTTTTTAGAAAAATGCTAGACTTTTGATGTGTTTTAGTGTTAAAAGTATCCCAAGATTCGCAAGCTTAGAGAATATTGTTTTTGTACACAAAAAAAAAATATTTTTTGAAACGTGTAAAAATGGATATTTTGTATCCAAATGTGTCTCTGTAGTTTTCCGTTGATTTTCCTTTTTATAAAATACGTAGAGCAAATTTTGATGTTCGTCTGTATTACGTGTCATGTGATGGTTAAAATTAAATTTGGTTTAGCAATATCTATGATAATGTACTATTGAGCGTTTGATATAAAAGTCTACGATCCCAATAATGATATGAAAATGATGGTTGTACATTGATAGATAAAAACAGTGACTGCATTTCGCTTTTTGAACTATCATATTTTTATTTTTAATATCTTTGTTTAAAGAGGGAAATGTGGTGAGTAATATTTTAAATAAGCTAAATACTAAGGCACGAAGCGGTACTCGTTAAATTTTATATCAAACGTGAAAAACAAATGCAAGCAATAATAATGCAATAGATGTGTAGTAGAATTTTTATTTCACTTAATGCTAGTTCATTATTAAAGAATATTTTTTTCTTTGTAACTACGTTAAGTTGACTGTACTATTTAAATAAAAATATTAAAATGGTAACTTAAAAGCCCGACGAGTAACGTAATTTCGCGCACTTTTACGTTTCGGAAATTATAATTTTCGGAAATTTTTTCTTTTTCTCCCCTCCTTTTTTGTACCGTCCATTGATGTTGTCTCAACGTAGATGTAGGTAAGATATTTTGTTTCTCAGCTCAATTAATTTGATCTCTAATCTAAAGTTTAACTTTCAACGCACACTTTTAACTTTTTAGTGGAAAAAAACCAGAGCTTTTATTTTAAAACAATTGTATGTGATCATTCGAACTTACAAAAATTGACCACGAAGTGTTAGTGATTTTACCTTCCCCATTTTTGTATTTTATTAAAAGTAACCCTTACGCTACTTTATATTATAAAATATTTATATCATAGTGATGTGATGTATTTAAGGTATATTACGCTATTATCCGACTTAGACACTTTTAGTTGTGTTTTCCGAAAACTATGGGAAAAAATTGGAAAATATAGATTTCGGAAAATTACAAATGAAACCGTTCAGTTATTCAGGTATACACCCTTTAGTTCGTTTTAACCCCGTTCGGTTGTTATTTTATTTACTCAAGCTCGCATAACGTTAGTTGAAATGTAGTTTTAATGACATAGTGGTTTAAGTATACATAAATATAAGTCTTGGTCGCTTGTCTGTTACTTTAAGACTGTTAACATTCTTGTTTTATTTGAAAGCGATGTTTTTGTTTTGTTGAACTACTTGTAACCGTTATTCTGGTTAGGGGGAGTGGGGGTTTTACCGTGACGTCATTGGAAGCCATAGTTTTATTACGAAATAGGTAGAAACTAGGCACTTAAAAACAAATACAAAACCATACGATAAACGCAAAAAAAAAGATTGAGACAAAAACAAATTGAGCTATGATTTTTTTGAATCAATAGTAAAATTCAAAGGCAAATTAAAAAACGTTTTTAGATAAAATAGATTACTACTAAAAGTAGAGAATACAGATAATTCACTAAGATTACATGCACAAAAAAATGGTCGGAATAATCCTCCCCAAGGACTTCTAAAACGAAATGCTGACTAAACTTTTCCACACACCTTAAAATAAAACAAAATAATATAATAACTCTTATTCTTCGTTCATTTTATAAGTTTCTTAATAAAGAAGGGATTTTACCTAATGGTTTGTGTACTGTACCGAGTTGTTTTTTAAAACAAAGTAAGATTCATCCACAATATCTTGCCTGTACCTACTTTAACCGACACCAATTTTGCCAAAAAAATCGATATTATTGGGAACCGATAAAATCGAAAAATCCTACATCTACAGCGCGTCTAGACTATGTGACATTCGTTATAGAGTTCGAATAAGTAGTTAGGGTGGACATACATCTACTGTTTTGTACGTAATTTAAGGACGAAAAGATCGCGAAGTCGAATCTATCACGAATTGCACTGTCTAGATGCCCTGTTTATTTATGATAAAAATAATATTAGGTAAAATACTTTTATTTAGGGATGATAATTATAAAAAAGCCGAACCTTAACTTCGAACTCCTCCTATGATCTTCTGATTAATTTCGTTGCGGGTCCAATGACAGTTTAACTTCCCCGGGACAAACTTGACCTTTACTGGTTGGGTTATTGGCGGTCAATCTGTAGATCCTGGCTACACAGGAGTTGCAGTGGTGGGAACTAGAGGTGGGAATAGTCCCATTTAAAAATATGAAAATTTGACGGTTAAATTACGAAAATCAAAATGGCGCCGTAAAAACGTCACTTCCCCCAAACCGATCTGTTGATTTAACTCTCTCATTAAAGGTTAAACAATGAAAATGAGATATTATTAAGTAAATAATGATATACTCTGTACCTACCTATAGCATAAAATATAGTATAATACATACATATGACATATAGAGTAAGGATGATATGATGATGCGAAATAAAAAATAAACAAGGCTCTGTGTTTTATTTTACCCTACCCATATGTTTCCTTGTTGCAAAATCATGCTTAATACTAAAGCCCGGTCGCCGAGCACGTATAATTTCGTCCAATGACCCGCTGTCGCGCTCGCACACTCACTGCTGCCGCCCGTTACAGTCGCGACAGGATAAGCAAGCGATAAGGATGGGTAGCTTGGGGTCATTGGACGAAATTCTACGTGCTCGGCGACCGGACTATACTAAGCCTACTGTTTGTCCGTTTTACATTGATGAGCCATCTTGATACCTACTGGGACGGAAAAATAACTCTATCATAGCAGGACGAAGTCTGTTTTAGAATTAATAAGATACTAACATAGCCTAAGTTTTTTACTAACATTATGGATCCCTGTTATCCGAAATAAATACTTTTTATTTTTATTTTATTTATTTATTATTTATAGTATTTATTAATAGTTTTTTTTTTTTTATCTACAACGAGGAAGCTCTTGGCCTGTATCTCACCTGATGGTAAGTGACGATCAGGCCGAAGGTGGAAGCGAGCTTCACCCGGAATCCTCAACCACGGAGGAACTGGCTATCTTACCTCTAACTGCCGGAACACAATAATGCTATTAACATTGTTGTTATGGCGACAGACTTAGGTAAGATGGTGGTAGCTAGCCAGGCGGACTTAGAACAAGTTAACTTACTTAGTTATTTAACTACTAGCTGTAGCCCGCGACTTCATTACGCGTGAATAAATTGTCTAATTTTCCGCGCACTTGTCTTAATTTATTTTTTTCACCTTCTCCTGAGAGTAACAAACACAACAAAAAAACAATTAGCGAAATCGGTCCAGCAGTTCACGCGTGATGTGGTGACCAAAATTAAATGAAATATACATTTATTTTTATAAAAAAATAAAACAGTTGTACATAATACAACTTAGGCATAGTGACTTAAGTCTTATGTGGGTTTTATCCAATATTATTAATTTAATATCTTTATTAAATAAGAATTAGAATATCTTTTTTGATTGGTTATAAGCTTTTTCCGCGGCTAAATCAATACAAATTTATGTTCCT